TTCTGCTCCTGACTCAGGTGAGACCTCCCTTACCATGTAGACTTGGCTAGATCCCCCTATACATGTTTATAGCATTCTAAAAATTTTTATAGCACTCTTTACAGTTGTAAATATGTAGTTGTTTATGTCGTTTCTTATTTAATATCTGTCTCCCTTCCTATACCATAAGTTCCATGAAGGCAGAAACTTGTCATTTGCTCCCTAAAGCCAAGCACAATACTTGGCACAAAGTAGTAATAAATGAATGGAAAATTGGGTACACTCCATATGAAATGTCTGGCTGAAAGATGCACACTTGGGGTCAAACCTTTAGATCAGCACCATCCAATAAAATTTCTTCCTGGTGATGGGAATTGCTCTAGATCTGTGCTAATAAGTAGTCACTAGGCTCATGTGGCTATTGAGCCCTTGAGATGTGCCTCGTGCAGCTGAGAAACTGAATTTTTATTTTACTTATTTTATTTTGTTTTTTAATCAGAGAAAGAGAGTGAGTACAAGCAGGGAGAGTGCCAGGCAGAGGCAGAAGCAGGCTCCCCACTGAGCAAGGAGCCTGATGCGGGACTCGATCCCAGGACCCTAGGATCATGACCTGAGCCAAAGGCAGACACTTAACCGGCTGAGGCACCCAGGCATCCCAAGGAACGGAATTTTTAAAGATTTATTTATTTTAGAGAGAGAGAGGGAGGGAGAGAGAGAAAGCGAGTGAGTATGGGGGGAGGGGCAGAGGGAGAGGGAGAGAGGATCTCAAGCAGACCCCACTGAGCACTGAGCTGGACATGGGGCTTGATCTCATGACCCTGAGATCATGACTTGAGCTGAAACCAAGAGTTGGACACTTAACTGACTGAGCCACCCAGGCGCCCCAAGAAACAGATTTTTAAATGTTATTTAAGTTAAATTGAAATAGTCACATGTGATTAGTAGCCACCATATCAGACAGTGCAGATTTTGATATCTCCAAATGTTTAGATGTTGGATGGCCTATAAACTTAGCTGAACAAGAGAAAGAATTTTGAAATTTTTATGAGGTCCTATTTATCATTATTTTTCCTATTGTGGTTTCTTTCTTTGCTTTTATGTCTAAGAAGTCCTTTCCTGTCTTGAGATCTGTCACCTATATTTTCTTCTAATTGTGTTTGAGGTTTTCTTACCTTTAACTCATTAATCAGCTGGAGTGTTTTTATTTATCTTATTTTTTTTGGAATATGCTAGAAATTGAAAACCTTTTTTTTTTTCTTAGTAGTTGTCTCAGCACCATTTATTTCATAATGCTTCTTTTCCCTACTGATAATCCACTAAATTTTTATTTGTACTGGGGTGTGTGACAGAGCTTTTATTCGCTTGTTCTGATCTGTCTGTTCTTCCATTGGTACCATTTTGTTTTAATTATCATAGCTTTAAAATATTCTTTAATGTCTGATAGTTCGAGCTTGTTCTATTTGTTTTAGCTATTCTGATTCAGCTGGTGTAATGTCTAAACTTTTTTTCTCCTGTCAATTCATATGTGCATGTAACATAGGTGATCACATTTTCTAAACCCCAAATCGGTACACACGATTAACACATGAAACTGTGGTCATCATTCACGTTAATATTAAGTCTCCTCCTCCAAGCACAGGGTTGTGCACATGGTAGGTGCTTTTGGACTAAAAGGAAATGAGGTCGAGGCATTTGATAAGTTCATAATTTCTATGGTAATGAGTTCTTATATACACAATGCTTAAGATAGCTTTCCTTGTTTTGCATGTTAAGAAAAAATCCAAAGGTTATTTGTTCTCTGTTCTGTTCTTACTGTTCAAGGAGCTTTTAGGTAGTTCCTAGACCAGCTGTGTCACCCACATATTCAATGCAGCCCAATTAGCTACTAAGAGTCACAATGCATTGAATCAGAGTGTAACTAAAGTCAAAGCTGCAGGAAACAGCAGCTATACTAATGAGTATTCAAAGCTGATTAGAATGCAAAAAAATCCAGCCATTCTTTAAGGATCAGCTATAATATGGAGCAATCAGGTAGCAGCTACTTGAAGCAATTGCTTGAAAGTGATTTTTTTTGATTGGGAAGATTTCTTAAGGATTACATTTTAAAAATGAGGACCATTTCTTCCCCCCAAAAGGTTCAAATGGCGCTGATTTAATTAAAGCACACATGCACACACACACACACACACGAACAAGTATGCAAATATTAATCATTAGTCATATTCAACTAAATGAATCCAGTCATTCTGGATAGCTGGAAAGCTGAAACCACCAAATGAAGGACATTTAATGTATTCTTAGGGATAATATTTAAACAGCATAGGAATCAATCAAATTATTGTCCAAAACCTGTCATAGGGCTTTCAGAGGTTATTTAATCCATCTTTCCATCTCAGGGTAGAACCAGATGTATATTTATCATCAATATCATTTTAATCCTACTAAAGGAAAAAATGGTAATTGGAAGTCTCCAGGAGCCTTCCCCTGCTACTCCCTAAAGAAACAATCATAAAAATACAGTGAACTCAAATCAGGGTTGTTGATTTTTGAATTCCACATAGATACACAGTTTTAAAGGAATGTTCAGAGGTCAATACATATTTAGCAAAATCTTCTATACCTTTTGTGTCTCTATATACCACAGATATTAAGAATTGATAATCCATTAATTCATTAATATTTAATTGATTCATTCATTAAACATTTTTGGCTGCCTCAAGGTGACCTTGAGGCCATAAAAATGCTTGATAATTAAATATTCAATTATTTTTATCAAGCTGTACTTTATTAAGGCAGGAAACTTATTTTGGCTTAACCCTGAGTTAGAAATTATAATCATAGAGGTTGTTAAAGTATTTTCTGAGCATAAACCTTTTAATCAATATATCAACTGAGAAATCTCTATTATGACCTCAAATCCTTTTTGGAATGAGGCAGACCACTAAGGTTTATACCCTGGTTTTATCATTTCTTTGTTATATGATCTTGAGCAACTCATTTAACTTCTCTGTGCCTTGGCTTCCTAATTTGTGAAGTAGTATATTAATATAGTTCCTGCCTCATGGGGATTAAATGAAATAATTCACATAAAGGACTCAGCACTGTGCCTTGTACATAGTAAATCCTAAATACAAGTATGCTAATCTTACTAGTGATTATATTATATTATATTATATTATTATATTATATTACATTATATCAGAGATTTCATGGGAAAGTAAAGTGAAGATGAATCTTGAAGGGCCATAAGAGTCCAGGAAATAATTGATCAGTGCACCGTTTAATTGAAAATCTCACTCTGGCTTCCCAAATAAAAATTTTTTTTTCAATTTTTTTTCTCATTCAACATTATTTATTTTTATTATTTTCTTAAATATATTTTTTAAATTTAAATTCAATTAAAAGAATTAACATATAATGTATTATTTGTTTCAGAGGTATAGGCCTGTGATTCATCAGTCTTATATCACACCCAGTGCTCATTACATCACATGCCCTCCTTAATGCCCATCACCCAGTTACCCCATTTCTCCACCCCCTTCCCCTCCAGCAACCGTCAGTTTGTTTCCTATGATTAAGAGTCTCTTATGGTTTGTCCCCCTCTCTGGTTTCGTCTTGTTTTATTTTTTTTCTCTCTTCCCCTAAAATTTTCAATTTAGATAGGTAGTAAACAGTCTCTTCTGAAAATGGGCTGTTATCCTAAGTCTACTGTATGTGTATGTGTTCTATGCATGTGAAGGGGAAGAGGGGGACAGTTTATCATCTTTTAAGGAGTTCACATGAACTGTCTCATTTCATATTTACAATAACCCTATGAGAGAGTTAATATTATCAATCCCACTTCAGAAATAAGGAAATTGAAACAGAGATATCAAGAACCTTTTCCCAAATCATACAGCAGCCAGTAAGTACATAGCAGCCAGAAAGTTTAACTTCAAAGCCCTGTGCACCGAATCACAAAGTTGCTTCCACTTAAAGTTCATAAATTCTTGTCACTTTTGAGGTAAACTGCTGGCCAGAACTAGTAAAGGGGGAAACTCTTACATCCAGCAATCCTCAAACTAGGATTGCTACCTTATTGATTTAAGCCTCATGTTTGGATTCAAATGACAAAGTGTGTAATTGTCTAAGCAGATATAGAAACCAGAGGAATCAAATTTAATGACCTACTTCATCTTAAGCTAATATACAAGATTAGAAAGAAAACTTTTTTATTAACTTCATGTATCCTTGAGTTGAAAGAAAGAAGAAAGGGAGGATTTGTTGTTTTAAGTTCATTCAGAGGTGATCTGGGCTGTTTTGAGGCCTGATTGAACAATATATTAGACACTTTGGTTTGTTTGACTAAAAAAGGAGTGGTTAGGTTACCCTGAGGCCTTGGAGCCAATATGGCTTTTGAAAACATCATGGGTAACTCTTGAATTAAATATAAAAATTCTACTGTGAATTGTCTTGATGCTGTGTCCTTTGAAAGATACAAAGCATTACTAAAAGGTAGAGACACAAGAGGTTGCTCTAAATAAGAAAGAAGAAAATGATTTCACAGTGTGTGTAGTGTAAGCATCTGACAGTTTGAACAGGGGTACATGTATATAATAAATGGTATAATAAATGCCACAGATACGGGAGGCGGAGAGGCTGTAGTCATTAAGAAAACAGACTCTGATGTCGTATAGACCTGAACTGGAACCAGGGTTCTATGACTCTCTAGTTGTGTGACCTTGGAAAAGTCACATACTATCCCCACTCCAAGCATTAGCTTTTCCATCTAGAAGTAGGAAAAGTAGTGCTCACACCTCATGGTATTGTGAGAATTAAATGAGATATAATAATGCATGCAGAGTTTGTAATATTGTCTGATGGTAGTAAATATTCAATAAACCATGATTTAAAAAGTAGTATGGCCTTATATAGCTCAATATCGCTTATACGAAGGGTTCCCAATTTTCACTCTTGGCCAAATTGGTCATCACTGTGCTGGGCTATTCCTTTCTCATATTGACATTTTGTAAATAACTCACCTCCATCATTGTCCAAGTTATCTCCACAAAGCATTTCCATGACAACATTGCAGCCTGTCCCACTCCAACCCACCTGACACACACAGTGCCAACCATTTTGATCCAGGGTACATCTCCCATTTCCAAAGCAGAGCCCCGGGCAGCCATCTGTAAAGACAGCAGAGAATAACAATCATGGAGACATCAGAATGGGATTGGCCAACAATGATGTATCTACCTATAGGAAAGCATCTAATCGCTTGGGCTCCCCTCAGATGAGGTGTTGAATAAATGGAAAAGGAACTTGCTTGCTTACAAGACCTTCCCAGGGAACTTGTTATCCCTAACTCGGCTGTGCTTTTCCTTAGAGAGCCAATTAAGCATTATTAATGCTAGCCCCGATTCCCAACCTCTGGTGTAGATAAGATGAAAACTATGATGGGGACAAAAAAATGTTTTTTTGTTTCTTTTTGAAAAAACGAATTTTTTCAGCTCAATCAAAACTGGATGGATGATATTGTATCTAGTTGTGGCCAATAAGCTGGGAAAAGACAGCAGTTTCTATGAAAAGAAACTTCCCCTAACTACTTCCAGTTTGTACTGATTTTTCCCTTGTGAGTCACTGCTTCAGGACTTCAGTATGTTGGTACACAGTTCAGACCATGCCATTAAAAATTTGTCCATATAAATGCCTTAGAAATGTGCTGCAGTTGCTTTACGTTTATTTGGCTTTTTTTCTTTAAGATTATCATTGATCCGAGGGCTAAGGATTAAATTTTTTATTTATCTGGTATCTCGCATAGAAGCTAGCATAATAATATTAAGCCCGTAGTAGGTGCTCAACAAATGTTAATGGAATTAATGCGTGCCAAATTGAGACTTTCAGAATTCTAGAGAATGACTGGATAGAGTCAAGAGGAAATTGTTGTGCTTAAATGACTTCTATCCATTGATAAACCGCAAACACTAACAATGGTGTCTATTTAGACTTTTAATTTCTCTGGGATGCCCTACTCTTTCTACTAATAGTTCAGAGTTAGGCCATTCCAAAGGGCATCTGTGTATGTGCCAAGTGCTCAGTGGACAGATGAACAGGGATGGCAATAATAGCATATAGCTTCTGGAATTTTCCCAGTAGCAGCACAAGACCAGATCTGCATTTTACTGGAGAGAATTCAATCAATATTTTTTTTTCATTTGCTGTCTTTGAAAGAAAATCCCAGAAGTATAAAGAGCAAAATAATTTTTCAAAAATCTGTAGACATAATCCAATGTTCCTTCCAAATGGTTTTCTAAGTAACTATCAACAGACCAGGCGAAGAAACAACTTTAAAATAAAATGACAGATGGCTGTTAGAAAATATGAAGACTCTCTCTCATTATATATATTATATGTAAATATATATATATATATTCCTCAAGAAGTGGTACAGGATGAATGTATATATAGGTTTAAGAAAGAATTTATCTAGCTCCATTCATCTAGTTCCATTATCACAGATATACAATGGATACAGAGAAATCAGGGATAACTTGGAACATAGTCAACCTTCTGAGGCTGAGGTAAAGAAAGCCACCAGGATATCTGACAGAAAAACCCTTATTGTCTCTATCAAAGGCAGATCCTTGGGGGGATGCACGATGGGTTACTTATAAGGGGAGAAATCTTCTGCCCTTGAAAGGATACTGTACATGGGCTTAGAGCCATATTGTTATGTTAAAGAAAATGTTCAGCTGTCTATCCAAACCTAGTTCATTTAATAATTACCTGCCTCTGTTATACATACAGACACACGCACACACACACACACACACACACACAAAATTCCATAGAAAGACAAAGAAAAACAGTTCTTAAAACTGCTTGTCAATCCATTATACACTATGGCAAAAAAAATGACTCTTTGATGCTGGAAAAACAAATTATTTTTTAGTCAGACCATTATATCGTGAACCTGACAATATCACACTTAAGGAAGCCTGCCGGAAGTAAAAACACAAACCCAAAACACACACACACACACACACACACACCCCACCCACCCTTCCTTTCCCACATGCGTATTTTCCATTTACAATATTTTTCTGTTATAAAATGAGTGAGAAGACTCTTACCTCGGACAGCATCTAAGTAGTGAGCTAAAAGGAGGGGAAAAGAGTGATTGAATGAATTTCTGGGAGACCACAGCTATCCAACATGTACTAATGGTCTACCATCTGTTGCCTGGGAGGAGAACAGCAAACTGTGAGCTGCCGAAATGCCGGCAGCTCACAAGTTGGTACATGGGCCTGTGTAGTTCAGGAATAATATTTTCTGTGGGAAAGATATTAATGGCTTTTCTGCAAGAAACTCTATTAGGTTTCCTAAAAAAGTGTCATATTTCATTAAAAGTATAAGAACTGCATTTTTACATTTCAGTAATAACTTTCGTGAAAGAGCACTCACTTGAACTTCTTACTAGTCATATCTTTAGAAGGGAGTTCTGGAGTAACCACCTCCCATAATCATCACAATATTTAAATCCTCTTATGTGAAGGCAATAAACTTACTGTAGTGCGGGAATGTAATTACAGCCACTGCATCGGAGTCTCACCCCTCACCACCTTTTTGATGAATCTTAAATATTTTCCACAGTCACAGAACAAGACTTACCGTACCTTTAGTAGAGTAGTAATGCAGTTTATTAAGATTATATGTTATATATGTTATATATAGTATACATTACTTTGGCAGGTCCTGACTGTTATAACAAAATACTTTTACCTAAAAATGAGAGTGGTGGTACAGTCTGGTGGGGGGAAAAAAAGCCCACAAACAATGAATTGGGTATCCAGAGGCCCACGCTTGCCTTTGTTCTGCATGGGATGTCTGTGTGCTCACGGAATGCCACAGAAACACTCTGTGACCTGCTTTCCTTAGCTGAACAATGAGATTTGTACTTGTCCATCTATACATGAAGGAGGACTTTGTGGCAGATACATGTATGTGTCAAGGACTTGGATTTTTTTTTTTCAGAAGAATAAAAGTATTTTAAAATTGAAACTCTATAGTTATTATTACTGTTTTTTATAGTGTGAAGACCACATGATAGATTTATTACATAGGCTTTCTCATACCCACAGATGGTTCTCCCAGGCAGCATCCTCAAAATTAGTGAAAGTCGTGACAAGGGATGGGAGAGGGTAGATGCCTCAGTTACGAACTCTCTATACTACCTGATAAACAATTCAACACAGATGTTCTATTGATGGTAGGTCAGGAGTGCCTTCCTCATATACATTAAAGACAGCTCCTAATGATATCGAATGGCCTCTGTTAAAGTAGTCCCGTTTAATGAAATTGCCTCTAAGTGCTTTCAAGTGAAACAACCTATACTTTTCAAAAGGAAAAATGGGCAGTGAATGTTATGTTCACAACAAAAGCACTTCTCTTATTAACTAATGACACTTTATTCCGGTGTATCATCTTTCATTTGGGTAACTCAATGCACCAGAAAACAGAAAATATAAGGAATACTGAAGTAATGAGCAAAGAAATGACACAAGAAAGAAGATACTATCAACAAAAGAGGAATACTCCCAGTTAACCAAACTTGCAAACTTATGGCTAACCCTTCGCCCTTTTCTCTCCTCCAACCTCAGATTCTATGAAAAGCCTGGTGATTGATCACCAACGTGCTTTTCCTTCTTCAGTTAATCAATGTACTTTGTTCAAAGTATGGCGGTACTTACCAATTGTGCAGTGGTCGCCCTCCCATCCAGGGCTACACTCACATTTTCCATCTTTGCACTGGCCATGCTCGGCACAGTGAGAATGACAGGAGCGTTCTTCACATGTTGGTCCTACCCAGCCTTCTTCACACTGGCAAATTCCTTTTGAGCAGACTCCATGGCTACCACACTCCATGGTACAGAGCTCTGTGGGAAATTCAAAGAAGATATATTTACATATTTTATTAAAACCAGAGTCTATTCTTTCCAAAAGACATTAGAATTACCAAAAATCCCACTCTACATTTATATTTTAAATATATAAACCAAATGTCACAAACACCTCTAGCATTTCAGTGAATTTGCAAGGAACTCTATAAAAAAGATAGTTAAGTCTCTAAGTATAAAATAAACCTTAAGTCAAATTGATTTTGAAAAGTCCATAAAATGATAATGGCATTCAAGGCTTAGAAATGAAGTCAGTGCCAAACTAATGTCAAGTGAGTTTCACTAAAAGTTCATTAAGATCACAAATAATGTTATAAGGATTTTATGATGCTGTAAGCAATCACTGGGGAAAACACACACACATAGTAAAATGGTGCTCTAACTTCATTCAGGAAGAGAGGTTCTACAATTGGAAAGATAGCTTTCTAATAAAATTTATAATATGCAAAAGGTAAAGCTGCCAATTATGGTAATCAACTGGTTTCCCTGAACATACAAACAATATCTGCATTTACTCTAAGCATTTAAAATGAATCCTGGTTGATTAAAATACAGTCTTATCTTGAAATGTCATTCATTATTTGGCCAATATAATCAAGTTGTATACTGGCTCTGCCGAGGTTCTCTCCTCTGTCCCCTTGACTTTTTGTTGAGACATGCTGAATATTAATAAAGTTATGACAGTAGAGAAGCTAAAGTAAAAGTTTGGCAAACCTTTTTCTTGACTGAATACCCTTGCTGGAGGAGGAAATGGGGGATAAAAGCCTATAGACAGAACACAAAAGGAATAATGCAATAGGTTTTGGGTACAATTGGCCATATACTCTTGAAAGAAACAGAGAGTGTTCTGGAGCCAAGTCATCTATCTTTCATAATCTCAAATTTTGAAACTGGTTTTATATATTTAGAAGTATTGACATGTGATGATATCAGTATTACCCTGTATTACCTGTAACAAGGCTCTTTCTATGTAACAAAAGTTTCTACTGTACAGATAGCAGAGTTATTTTTCAGTGGGTGAGAATATTCTTCTGATAAAGCCATGGGTATAGATTTTATTACTATCTAAATCAATTTGTCACTAATTCATTCACAAGTATTCTCTGTGGGTCAAGGTATGATAGAACAGTGGATATGAAATAAGGATTCCTCTGCATAAAAGCTGTGTACCCTTAGGAAAATTACTAACATGCTCTCTTAATTTCTGCTTGTGTAACTACACAATGGAAGTAATAATACTTATATCTCACAGGGTCACTGGACAGATCTGAGACATGTTTTGGAGGTAGAACCAATAAGAGTTCCTCAAGACTGGATATGGGGATTGAAGGAAGAGGAAAAATGTTTTGGCTTAAACAAGTGGGTGGATACTGCTGCCATTAATGAAATGGGAAAGGCTAAGGGAAGAATAAGGGTAGAAGATCAAACATTAACTTTGAGATAATGTGTAGACAGCCAAATGAATTTAACAGGCCAGGGCTGGAGATGCGAAATTGGCAATCATTAGCACATAGGTGGTATTTAAAGGCATGAGGCTAGATGATATCCCTAAGGAGAGAGGATAGACAACCCTTGGAATAAACCCTGAGGTATCCCATTATTTAAAGACGAGGTATTAAAAACAGGAAGCATTGGGGTGCCTGGCTGGCTCAGTCAGAAGAGCATGTGACTCTTAATCTCAGAGTCCTGAGTTTGAGCCTCACGTTCAGTGTAGAGATTACTTAAAAAAACAAAACAAAACAAAACAAAACAAAACTAAAAAAGGAGGAACCATCAAAAGGAGACTGGGAAGGAGAGGCAGTGAGTGATAAGAGGAAATCCAGGAGATTGTGGTCTAACTAACACCAGAAGAAGACCCTTTTTCAAGAAGAAGAGAGTAGCTAGCAGTATAACATTACTGAGAGGTCAAATGAGATTTGGGCGAAGTGTCCATTGAATTTATCAATACAGAAATTGTTGGTGGCTTTAGCAATAGCTGTATTGATAAGGTAGCAGTTGTAAAGTCAGATTTGAATGGGTAGAAGAGTGAATGGAAAACTCTGTGTGGGGTCAACAGATTGTAAGAAAAGTATAGAACCAAGAAAATACAAAAAAACCCGGGGCTTTGCCTAATAAATGGTAGTTCAAGTAGGTTGATCTTGAAATAGCACCTACTCTCTATATCTTGGTTCTGAATCTCTAATTGATAATCTGGATTTCTAATTTCTGTTCTTGTCATGAATCTGAGGTTATAATTATGCTCCCTTAATAGCCTTCCCCAAGGCTGAACTGAAAGGGCCTTTCTAAGATCAGGGAGCTAAACGGGTCAAAGTCAATCAAGTCAGAGCTAACAGAAACAATTAGAGGCAAATTTTTGTGTATATTGCTTTATACAACTATAAAATTTAGGCACAGAAAAATATATCCATCATTCTGGTGATTTCCTGAAAAGTAACAGGACTAGATGAACAGTATCAGCAAAATAGCAGACTAGCCTATCCTTAAAGCACCCCAATATAAACCTTAGAACTGTTGAATATAATGTAATAATTTTTAAAATTGCATGTCTTGGCTCACAAGAAACAGAATTATCAAATGCCAGAAGCAAAGATGATGCTAACAGCCAAAGAAGTAAGCATATAAGTCAACCTTCTGGCAGCTCTGAGTGGTTATCATACCCAGTAATGACTAGGGGCTTGGGTATCTATGTCCACAGAGGAAAAAGGGATGAGATTTTTGGCCCATTAAGATAGGGAGTTAGACTGAAATCCCTGCAGAAAGTAAGGACCCTTGAAGGGATGCAGTCTTAGTGAGATGGGGACTAATAAACTCTACCCACTAGCCCAGAGAGATGGCAAGGAAGCATTAACTATAATGATAATAATAATATCATTAATAGTAATAAATTTGGGAGTTAGAAAACAATATTAAATAAAATACTACCTAATAATAATATGTGCAATAGAGTGTCCTGAATGAAATATTTCTAAAACTTTGTACTATTCAGGAGTTAAGTAAGATATTGTGTTAAGTATGCATATAAAAATTTAAAGGTGGAATTGTTTCTAGTAATTGTGACCTCAGTAATTTTTACTATTCTGTCCTGATGGAAACTGGAAAATTTAGACAAAATATATTTAAAAATTGTTGGACATTACTGGAGTTCACCAAAGAGTAAAGAGTTACTGGGCCACATTCTAAGAGAAAAAGAAAACCCAGAGAGTTGATTTTTGACATTTATGGATGCTTTGCCTCTAACAGCCAGCTAGAAGACTCAGAAGCTGGGCAGAGCTTTTGTCTGTCTCACGGGTGCCGAAAGAAAAATATTTGACTACATAATAGCTAAGAAATTTCTAATACTGAAGAAAATATCAAGCCAAATATATGAAGCAAAATTGAAGGAACAAAAGAGAAAAAGACAAATTTACAACATAGTCAGAGACTTTATGCCCCCCTTTCTCATTAACTGATGATAGAACAAGCAGACAACAAATCAGAAAGGATATGAAATACTTGAGTAACATGTTTATCAAATTTGATCTAATTGACACATATAGAGAACTATAATAAATAATACAAAATGCACATAATTTTCAAGTTCACATGGAACATTTACAAATATTGACCATATGCTGGGCTATAAAGCAAGTCTCAATGTATTTCAAGTCCTGAAATTATTTATAGCATGTTGTCTGCTTACTGTGGACTTAAACTTAAAATACAAAGATAAACAAAAGGTAACTATAAAATCCATATAAGTTTGGAAGTTACAAAATATACCTCTAAAAAGCTATGGGACAAAAAAATCATCATGGAAAGTAGAAAATACTTTAAATGAATGAAAATACAATGAACGTATCAAAACTGGTATAACTAAATCCATGTATATAGGAAAACTTATAAGGTATAAAGGAAAACCAGCCAAAAACAATGACACATGCATCCATTCCAAGAAATTAGAAAAAAGGAAAGCAAAGTAAACTCAAAAAGGGTAGAAGAAAGAAAATAATAATTATAAAACCTGAAATTAATTAAATAGGAACAAACATACAATAGAAAGAATCAAGAAAGCCAATGCTTGACAGTTTGCATAGCCCAATAAAACTGATAAACTTCTGATGGGAACTGATGAAGAAGAAAATACAGAATATCCAAATAACTAATATCATTAATGAAAAAGATGACATTGCTATTGAATGTATATACATAAAACATCACAAAAGAACATTACAAACAACTTTTTGTCAATACATTTGAAAATTTCAACAAAATGGACAAATTCCTAGTAAACACAATTTACAATAATGAACACATACACACAAAAGGAAACTGAATGGTTTCTATAAAGAACCTAAATCCACAAATGAAAAATATTCCCAAAAAGAAAATCACAGTCTTAGATGACTTCACTTGTAAATATGCCAAACTTTTAAGGAAGAAAAACCACATCTTGAATAATCTTTTTCAAAGAATAGAAAAAGAGGAAACACCACAGTGTGAGTTATTAGGGCAGCATAACCTTGATATAAAATCCTGACAAGAATATTATAGGAAAAAATACAGGTCAATTTCACTCATGAATATGAATGCAAAATCTTAAACAAAACATAAACAACAAATCTACCATTACATAACATGAAATAATGTAATGACCAATTTGTGCTTATTCTAGGAATACATGATTATGTTTATATCTGAAAATCAATCAATGTAATTCATCACATATATGGAATAAAAGAAAAAAATCATATGATCACCTAAATATATATAAGTACTTAGTAAAATACTAAACATCTATTCATGATAAAGGCTTATAGCAAACTAAAACTAAGAAGAACATTAATCTGATAAAGATTAGCTATAAAAAACCCTACAGCAAACATCATATTTAATAGTGAGATGTTGAAATAGTTTTTCTATTTTTGAGAACTGAGAAAAGATGCCTATGATCATCACTTCTATACACCATAATTTTAGAGGTCCTAGCCAGTGCAATGATA